TGGGTGTAGGTGGTTGTCCGCGTCGATGTGCGCGCGCATGTACGGCGCCTTCCGCCAGGCTCGGAGTGTCTGTCTGTCTGGAGCTCACAGTTCCTGTCCAACCTTCGGCCCTGTCGGATCCATCTAAGAACAGGAGGGAGTGCTGCTGCGTTGAGCGGGTCACTTACTGAGCTTGCGAATTCCGACAATGGTACACGCTTAGCCTAGACCGACCCAAAGTTCGTGGAAGTCTTCTATGGGTCATCTCGTACAATGCACCATTCCAAAAAAAAAAAAAAAAACAGCGCTCTCCTCGCGCTTCTTGGGTGGATATTGACCACTCCTTCCCCGCTCATTGCTTGGAATTCTGCGCACCGATCTCGAGTTCCTTATAGTAGGAAGGCCTTTCATTTCCCCCTTGATTCAGTATACATAATGATTCTCGCAGGAACTTTCAAAAAGGCAATCGAAGAATGATGAATGGGATCGTTCCTTCTGATGCCTCTCCCGCCGCTGTTTTTTTTTTTGTTGGAATGGTGTAATAAAGTAATTCAGAAAATTAAAAGTGATTGCCAGCTCTCCCAGTTGGACTGGGATTCTCGCTGTTTCATGAGAAACAGTGGGCACCAAATTGCAGACTGAGACTTGCATAACGGTGAATCTCTTCTTTCCACAGGGTTCAACCACACCTATCCACCCACCCCCCTTGTAGGCGCCCCTGCCACACCCGTTCGATACTCCTTTCCCCGTCCGCAGGAACCCCCCAAGGTCCACGTTAATCTTCCAAAAATTCGATTTCCAGATTTAACTTCGGGAACAGTTGGCAACCCCATTAGACATCGTTTGGTTTACATGCAGGTGACCCGACTCTGGTCCAGCTTCCCCTAACTGATGGCGTCATTCAGTTCTAAGCCTGCAGACAAGATTCTGCAAAAAATTATTTCACAACTGCAGGGAACTAAACTAGGATGAAGGAATCATGAACGACAAAGGGAACTCATGACCATGATTCACCTGAAAGTATGGGATTAGGATAAGAACTAGGGCCGATATGTATTTCGTTATAATCTGTATCTTCACAAAGTTCTCTACCAATCTTCATGGCCATCTCACGTCTCATGCACAACTCGACCAGATTTCCACCGACAGACATTTTTCCAGTCTAATTCACCACTGCGCCGACCGGGGGACTTATACAAGGCAATCGGTGCGTTTTTTCTCTAGCTCTGCTGGCGCTTCCCCCCCCCCCCGCATCCCATGACGTCACATTCTTGCTGACCTGTTCAGCGCTCTCATAATTCACTATGTTCTATTGTCAGGTGCTTGTCCGAGAATGACGCCATCTAATGACGAAGTCATAAAAAGCACTGACGGAAAGAGACGTCTGTTTTTGTTGGCAGCTGAAAGTAGTGGGAGAAAAAGACTTGCCCAATAGTTTTTCTACTCTCCCAATAGGAGAACCAAAACGGCGGGATGGAGGAAGGGCAGAAGCAGTCTGCTCATGAGTGGGAGATAATCGTTTAGTTTTGCCAGGTAATGACGTAGTATCCAGGGTTTAGCCTTGCTGTGATGTTCACTCCACTGGTTCTGCATGGTATTCCTTCAAAGCCCAGAGAGAGCTTCCCCCCTCGCTGAAAAGTCGACTGAAATGTTACCACCTCTTTTATTTAGAGATCCTTTGGACACGGTCTACTACAAACAAAAATACTTTTTTTTTGTCTTAGAAGTACAGGTACTTTCATATCACTTAAAAGGGGATAAGGCCCTGTAACTATGCGTCCCCACATCTTTAGGAAGGCATGGTGTATCGTTTTCGAATTGAATTCATTGCCGCCTCCCGGGGTTGTAGATAGGGTTACCATACTTTGGTTTTTCACGGACATGTCCTCTTCGCTGTCCGTCTGGGAAGGCGTCCAATGGGTTACCATACGTCCAGATGTTTTCCCTGGACATGTCCTTTTTCGCCTTCAAATTTCAGTCCGACTGCTAGGTGTTTTTGGCTGTCCGAAATATGGTAACACTAGTTGTGGAGAATGGAGAAGGTACTTCATGTCGAGGATCCGCTTCATTAGGTAAACCACGAAATCAACCTTATGGAAGATGTCACTGCCTACATTTGATGAAAGCGCTCCTATCGGGGCAAACGAATTCAATCCAAAGCAGCCCATTCGGCACAACAACGTTGTCAACATTGATGAAATGTTGAGACATCCGCATTTGAATAGGTTCTACCAATCGGCTCAAGATGGCACCTAAGCGCCGTCTTGGTCTTCCCCAAACTGGCGCGGGGACATATCCAGATGACTGATGCAAAACGTCTCAGAATTGCATTATTAACCACAACTAGCGTCGTAAGGATTCCAACAGCTTGCTATGTCCAGACCTGTAGAGCAGGGGTCCACCGCGCTGGCATCCCCCCCCCTCCCCTCAGTTTCACAGGTTCAAGGTGGCCCTCACAGAGATTTGCCTCGGCCCCCACAATTCCTTTCAGCAGTCCTGTGTGGAACCGGTTAACCAACCAATCTTTCCTAGCCACATTTTGGGGGCAGTGAGACTGAGATGTCCCTCTCTAATCCACATGCAGACCGTGGTATACCCAAAGCTGGATTCCCAGGTAGCACACTCTGCTGGGATGCAGCTGGGAAAGAGCCGAGTGTGCAGCTGTGAAAAAGGGGAGAAAATCAGCAGATTCTCAAGTGGGAATGTCACACGTTATGCAGCTGAGTAGCAGCAGAAAAATAGAAGAGAAGAACTGCTGTAGTTCAGCTGTGCTGGAAGTTGACCTGCCCTGCTGCACTGCAAGAGAGCATATGCTTCCAGCACAGCTGGATCACGGCTGAGCTACAGCAGTTCTCTTCTATTTTCTCTGCTGCTACTCAGCTGCAAGATGCGTGACATTCCCAGTTGAGACTCCACCAATTCTCTTCTCTTATCCTAAAGATGCACACTCAGCTCTTTCCCAACTGCCTCCCCATATAGAGTGCTTCCTGGGAAATTCCTTTGCTTTTCCCTCCAGAGATAAAGACCCTAAGGCTAAAATCATCATTCGTGATCGAGTTAACAAAACTCTATTTGTAATGTGCGCTAAAAAATTCAAGGGGTTCTAATTTGGAATATGAGCTTGTTTATCGCCTGGGCTCCATGATTCTGTCTCGTATATGGGGATAATAAAGAATTAAATGTAAGATTTTATTGATTGCTATAATGAAACTAGAAATGCCATATAGTGAGGTACTAAACACTCCTGTGAGGGATGATTCCATGGAAAGAGGGAAGTGCACTTTGTGTACTTGGCGAAAAGCGAGACTCATACCGACATCTAGTGGCGTCTAGAATAATTCGCCCTATGACGTACTCATGCAGACTAACTTGGTCTTCCCCAGTTGGAATGCAGTTGTCTCACAGCAGAGACGCCCCAGTTGCATGCAAGCTGTTGAATAACAGCTGCACTTCAAAACGCAATAATCGCCTTTATTACTGCTGGATGATCACAGCAGGAAAACACTTGGGACATTACTGAGCTTCCTTAGCTGACTTGTCTCGTCTCCTTCCCAGCTGAATCCTTGCTGGAAATAACCAGTTTTATGGCAGCTGATGAGATTCTGTTGTATCCCAGCTGCGGGACAGTAGGATTACATATCGCTATTTTCTCGCCTGGACGCTTTAATTCCAGCAGTGACACATTTATTTGGGATTTGGGAGCTGGGATTTAAGAGTTGTGTTCATTGGGTTATAAATAATCTCAAGGGCACATGCCCAGGTAGCTCACAAGTTGGGCCCATGTTGGCTGCGAGTGGGAGACTGAGGGCCATGGCAGCCCACACTGCAGTGGACTGTCATATAGGATCCACATTGGTGCAAGGGCAACAGCCAACATTTGTCATGTCATTTGTCATGATGAAATACCCAGCTGTTTGAACAAAAAACGCTTCCCACAGCTAGTGCGAGATGGCGACTATGTAGCCGCTATTTCAGTGGGATCACTCGTTAATTAAAGACCCGGGTACTTACCATGCTGTACTTAATCTTTTCCCAGAGAGTGCGGGAGAGAAGACACTCGAATTTCTCTATTCACTCGCTTAAAAAGGTTAAGCAGTCCAAGGAGACTCCTGTTAATTGTGGAGGAGGCATGGTCCAAATTAGGTCTTCACTCGATAAGATGAGGATGAAGATAATGTTTTTTATTTCGATTGTGGAGGCTGCATCTGGCTCCCCTTTAGGGGTTAATAGATTCGAGTGTGATAGAGGAAACTATCACCCAAGTCTTACTGGGGAAGCACTTCCGGAGCGGGAGAGGAGCCACGAGTGATGAATGAAATCACAATGTGGCTCAAATCCTGTACGGAAAGTGACGGCCTCAAAAGATGACAATCCAAGGAAGTACTACTCCCTTGAGTGCTTCCAGCCAGACCAAGAGAGACTCGGTGACAAGTTCCCCAGGAGGGAACCGAAAAATCATGTATACAGGGTGTTAAGAAAGTTGTGTCCCATCGCAATGTGCCAATAACCTCAGCAAAAGTTAATAACAAGGACAGTTAACGGATTTAGAATCACTTAGTAGTTTTAAATATAGCTGCCCTTGGCACAGACGGCAAGGTTCAGACGACCCATGAAAGCATCGACTGATTTTTGCAAGACTTCCTGTGGAATTCGCTCCGATTCTCGGTTCAGGGATAGCTTGAGAGAATTCGAAGAACAGTGCTCTGTAGCAGACACTTTGCTCTTCCAGATGGACAAAATTGAAAAATTTAGGGGGTTGATATCGGGGAAGTAAGGGGATCATTGTGAAGTCGAAATGAAGTCAGGGACATTTGTCCGCAGTCACTCCTTGGTCATCCGCATCTTGTGAGCTGGCACTGAGTCCTGCTGGAAGACCCAGCTGCCTCCATCGAAATATTTCGTGGTTCACGGAACCAGGCAGTCTTCCAGAAAGATTTAAAAAAAATATGCCCCCAGGGCATGTATTCAAAACTTGACATTTTTCCTGAACCCAGTTTCAGTAGATACGTCCATGTCATGTTTCAGCTTTCCATGTTTATCCGTTTGGCTGAAGTAAGAAAAAAATTATTTGAAAATATCTCCCCCTGAAATTTGTGCCCCTGGATTATTTACCTCCAAATCCTGAATTTTTCTGAATTCAGATTCTCAAAAGGTACTTATGTATCAAGTTTCACCTTTCTATCTCTGGCCAATTCGCTAGGACAAAAAAAAATTATTTGAAAACGTCACCCCCCAAAACTATGCCCCCAGGGCATGCATCTGAAACTTGACATTTTCCCTGAAATTTATGTCTCAGTAAGCACGTCCATGTCATGTTTCAGCTTTCCATGTCTCTACATTTGACTGAAGCAAATATATATCATTGAAAACATCTCCCCTCAAAATAGGTGCCCCCAGGGCATGTACCTCCAAAGTCTGATTTTTTCTGAACTCTGCATCCCAAAAGGTACATATGTACCAAGTTTCAGATTTCTAACTTCTCTAGAACATGTTAGAATTAGCATAAGTCAGTCAGTCAGTAAGTCACGATCGTCTATATATACCCCATGTATTAATTATTATGTGATTCTAAATCAGTTAATTGTCCTTTTTGTTGTGGATAAAAAAAATTTCATGATTTTTTAAATTTTTGCTGAGGTTATAGGCATATTGCGATGGGACACAACTTTCTTAACACCTTGTAGAACCTCATTTGAAACTTCTTTTAATCGCTTGAATGCCATGCAGCATGTCAGCATTTGGCGTTGGCCTAATGTAGGGCCACGGGACAAGCCTGCAAGGGACCGACGTTGGGCTCACATCGCTAATGTGGAATTCCAACATAAGACCAACGTTGGCCCAACGTGGCTGTGCTACCAGGGTGGAATCAGTGTCCATGGCCCCCAGTACTTGTGCTGAGAGGACGTGGGGGACAAAACCAATGAGAAAATTCAGCACGAGGATGACACTAGGGTTGTCGCTTCTCGTTCAACACTCCCAGCCGCCCTCCCTCCTCCCCTCATACTCAAGGGAGGGGGGGGGGCTGTGACAGGACAACACACCAACAAAGACGTTTCAATCAGAGGCAGGATATTTTTGTGAAGAAAATCTCGCCTCTCATCGAAATGTTGGTACCTCTCGAACACCTGGGACTTTGACGTCACATTGTTCAGGTACGCATCATTCAACAGTGTGTGAGAAGGAGTAGGAGTTTTCCTTAATTTTGACTAAATTTGACATTCTCAAGCAGCTCGAATTGCGACATGTTCGCAGCCAGACATCGGAACGGCAAATTACATTTTGGTACTTTGTACATGGTGGGTTCCTAGCAGCCATCAGGCGTTTTGCAGACTTCGCAAGCAAGAAACGCATGAAGTAGATAAATTCTACAACTCTTCCAGCGATATGTTCCAGACTGCCTAGTTTGGGAGTAATCCTCCCAGTCCGAAAAACTTATTGAGCCTACCACACCTTTGTGACGTCTGCATGCAGTCTAAGCCTGGGTGGAGAACGATTCAAGAAATTGATCGACCAGAGTCATCTGATGACAACTTATGGTCCATGGTGTTAGGCAGTTCAATATATGGAAGCCTTCTGAAAGTACACCTTGAACCTTGGGAATAGTTCTAACCATGGGGAGGTGTGGAGAGGAAGACGAGAAGAGAGGAAAGTGGCTTTTAAGTCTATTCCGGCAGTCCTGGGACACCAGACTGCTACCAACCAAAGTTCCCATGAGACTCCTCATCTTTCCTATACTATAGCAGAGGAGAGCGTCAAGGAGGCAAAACTTGGATGAAGAATTAGGCTGGGCGAATAAGCTTACAGAAATGCTCCAGGTTAGAGTCTTGGTCAGTGATAGACAACCTGTAGCTCGGTTGACCACCTGTCCCTAACATTTTGGGAGATTCTTTCACAACTTGCATAATGGTGAACAGCTCCATCCCAAAATGCTGCTCTCTTCCGGCTGCTTTTATGAGGCCCAAAGGCGGCAATTTTGGAATGGGGTGTCATTCAGCATCTAGGACAGGTGGTCACCCAACCTGTAGTCTGCAATGGTCGGCGAAAGAGTGTTTACTGCCTGCAGCCACTAAAAGTTGTCCATCACAGGACTAGATCCTCATTCGAGCATCAAGCCTCAGCCTATCTCAGGGAAGAAGCCACAAGCAAACAAGGATTAGGCTAAGCAGAGGCTTAAGCATAACAGGCTTCAAGAGACTGGCTAGAAAATTTTGTTATACGGGAAATTTGTCAATGTCCTTGACATACAAACGAACAGCAAGGATCAATGGGCGTCCTTTCTTCAACCCCTTCTGGCGACAAAACTCAACCGTCTCATATTCCTCTCTGAGAGCATCAACAGGAACGAAATTTGGCATACTTCTTCCTCTCTCGACACAGAATCGCTCCAGCAAATTTGAAGCTCCATCTCCCCGGGGTTGTGGAGATCACTGAATCTCACTTTTAGGAGATACGTGTTAGGGGAATTGCCTTCTTGTTGCATTTACACATGTTGCTTCTTTTGCAATTAATATTATTTGGCAATTATTGATATGTCAGGGTTAGTCATAGGAATAAGCAACCACCAACCATTTGGGGCTCTCATTAACCCTCAAATGGTATTCGTTTTTTCCCCCATTGTGTAATTGGTATCGTGGGATCAAATTGGCAATAAAAATCGCAAGTTTTTTTTGTTGTTGTTGATGAATAGTCATTTATCATGGCAGTTTCCTGCCTACCTTCACCGCAGTGAGACACAACGTAGTGGCATATTCCCAGGACTGACCCTGATGTATCGATAACTGCCAAATAATTTTACTTGCAATAGGAACATTACAGTATATGCAAATGTACTTGAAGCCGCACGTTGCAAAAATGCAACAAGAAGGAATTCCACTAACACGGGTATGGTATACCTTGCGTATCTGTCGCATTTTACTTTCCTTATGTTGAACAAGCTTTTCCCTAAAACCCGACATCCACCGCAGCGATGCATTTGACCTTGTCGTTTTTTATACTCTCAAGTAACTCGGCAACTCATTTAACTTTCCTTGTCGCAATTGACTTTATTTTGTCACATTTGACATGGAAAACCTATAATGCAGTTCTGGGGAGAGAGGGTGGGGATTGACCATAGCAGTTCTTAGTGGGAAGACAGGTGGGGGGACGGACAGACGCTCCTCCTCCCCTCTCATATTCTCACAAAACCTACCTCTCAGACTCGTACTCAATCCAAAATTACGTCACTACACCAGGGGTACTCCTGGTATCCAGAATCCAAGTTGCTTACTGTGAATTACAACATTTCAATGTACTTCAAATTTAAGTCCAGAATTGGATGAAGATCCTTCCATGACCGAAGCACATCCCACCTTTCATGCATATTTATGGATCTTCAAGTAACCTGGCTGCAATTGAAATTTCAACAAGAAGTTGAGCGATTTTGATGAAAGTCAATGGATTAAAAGTCAGAAAAAGGTTTTGCAGCAGTTATAATGGCATGCAAGTTGTGAATAAAGAACAAGTTCAATGCTCTTGATCAGTCAAATTTTATTTTTGAACTCCAAATGGAGAACAAGTCCTGAAAAATTCGGGGGGGGGGGGGAGAACCAAAGGGAACTATGATAGTCTCAATAAAATGTGGACAATTGTGATACAAGCACACTTCAAGCTAATGGAGCATTAGCACACAACACATATGAAAGTAGAAAAAATACTGATCAAAGAAACCATCGATTAAGCAAACTCAGTGTCTCTGGAGTCACCAGGCATTGTTGGTCATGATTGGCAAGAAAATTTCGAATATCATTTTTATGGGCTGGCTTACTTTCACTCATACAGTTGATTATTGCTGTCTGTTGGAATGGAGCTGAGATTTTCCATGAGCCCAAAAACACTTGCCTATCAACAGAGCTTAGCAATGCTAGAGCTCCTCCTTAGGGAGGAGATGATAGGATCCAAGAATGTTGGTTGGGATGTGGCTTTTAGATGTGCCCAAGTAAGTGTGACAGATGTCCAAAATATGCCATGTTAATGTTAACAGAAGAATCAGACACCCTGTTGGTCTAGGGGTTGAGATAATGCCAATTAGCAGTAGTCAAGCTGTTGCAAAATTCCACAATATCACAAACTTATGGCAAAGTTGCATCTAAGTGCCAACTGGAACAAGGCTGCATAAGGCCCAAATAGCCTTGATAATGATCTGGATATGTACATACTTTACTAGAGGAAGAATGTTTGAGATTACTAAATTAGAATGATACCTCCTTGAGAATCTTTTGCAGTTGATCTCGTTGCCTCAGATACCACAGGAGAAAAATTTTAACAAGAGCCCGTTGAATAGCCTCTAAACAAATTCAGCTAAATAAATTAACCCCTCAAGCACTTAAATATCCATGCAGTAACTTTGGTGTACATTTAAATGTACAGCTGGGTAGGTTTGCACTTGCATTCAACATTTTATTACATCTTGTACAATTCTTGCATACATTTTATTACATTTTTCCCACTTCAGCTAAAGATTATAAGGTAATTTGGGGGAATATGGCCCTAAATAAGTGAAATTTCGTATTAATGACCAATCAAGATTGAAGCTGACTTTGCCAGTATTTCTAATATATGGATTAATATCTCCTTAACCTAATCCCAACAGGCCATATTACCCCTATTGTTAGGGAAATATGGTCAGGGATTAGGTGTAATATAGCCATTTCTCAAAAAATGACCCAAGGTTTTTGAGGAACATGTGAGTTATACTTGAACATGCAGAGGACCTTGAAACATAATAAGCTAAGCTAAGCAGTTGAAAAAATACATCAACTGCATGGAGGAAAAGCAAAGAAGTTGACACCAATACCTGACCCCAGGAGCTGCAATGAAAAGTAGGATTGCAATGCTTTAGGCTATGAGTAGCATTGCATGTGATGGAGACTGTATCTAGAGACTGGGTGTTAAGGGAAGTCATCACCTTGAGGTTGAAGTGAACATGTGCTAAGTGTGAAGTAAGAGGTTCTATAGTGTGGGGGAAAATGCTGCATAGTTTTTGCATGTATAAATAGTAGCTAAACTCACAGGATGTGATTTACGTTCCTCATGATCCTGGTTCACCCTCACTGTATTTACCCTATTCAGGTGTCTGATTCTTACCAGAGTTCTGGTATGTATGAAGGTCCTGATAGCCAATGGATGGATATATGGGTATTTGTTCTGAAGAGATTCAGAAAGACCTTTTATTACATTTTCCCTTCTATCGAGATCAGATTCTCAATGATATTTTACGAACTCTTGTTCTAAAATTGCAGCATCCTTTAGCCATGAATCTGTGGGCTTCAGTGAACCCCCTCGACTAATCTTTGGGGTCCAAGAAGAGCTACCTGGATCGTTAGCAAAGGAAGTACTGAGATCCAGGACCTTCCCATGAGGTTTGAAAGCTACAAAACTAGTCACATTGTAGAATCCGTCAATGTTCACAGCACTGGCTACCTCTTCGTTTGGCGCATCAGACATATCAATAAGTCCGCCATCCTCTGTGAAATTCTCATGTATGCTCTCATCTTTTTGAGGAATGGCCTGGTTGGACTGAAATGAAGATTGATACGATTCTTGGTCTACTTCGTCATGAAGGCAAACTAACAGAGTTGCATTATCCAACTCTGTGTTGGAATTTCTGCCGAAAATTAAGGATTTGGTTGCATTCAGAAGCAAAGACTGTATCCTGTACTTTGCTCCCACCAGGGTCGGACATGTATCAAATCTCCCTGCTCCTCGTACAAGGCTGAAAAAATTCTCGAGACAATCCTGATTGAGTCGTGAAGTCAGGATATATGTCTGAGAATATGTCTCGAAAAGGAAGGAAGAAAGATTTTTGAGGGAGGAGATGGAAACAAGAATCCCCTTCTGAAAGGGAAACAGATTCGTTTTCCCTTTTCCTGTTTTCCCTTGAACTCTCATGTTCTCCACCATGTCCTTCTTGCGATCCAATATCCTTTCCTGTTCTTTGAGTCTCAAGCCATATCCAGAATGCATGGGCTTCCCTTCCACTAGGGGCATTCTGGAGTTGAACAGATCAAAATATTCATTCACAAGGTGAATGAAATCTGCAGTATCATGTCCTTCAGGGAAGTAGTACCTAATCGCTTCTGCAACAGTGGGTGAAAGTAGCTCTGCTGCAAGGTGAACTCTCTGACGTTCCCTGCCCTTAACTGAAAGACGAGATGGAATGATCTTGTGGCAGAGAGCTCTGTTACATTATTTGTGGTAATCAATCAGTTCAGAACATCCTTGCAGATGATCTTTCTCTCAGATGTTCCTGCCACTTGCAGGTTGAAACCATAATCGAGGAGATTATTCTGAATGAGCTTCAACAAGTGAGGAGCATCTGCATAAAAGTGGATTTCTCGAGAAGAGTCATGTGGATTAGGGATTGAGCATTTGGAAGGACATATCTCGCAATCTTTCCACAAAGGTGGACGGTGATCACCCAGATCACTGCCTACAGCGACTACAATGAATTTAGCATACTCCAATGCATTTACAATCATCAGAAACACCTCTTTCATGATCTTCTGGTCAAATTCAAAGTAAACTGGTTGTTTCCAGTTCTTGAAAACCAGTTCCAGTTCTCTGGCCATTACAACCATGAGCTGTTTGTGCGGTCCAAAAATTTGGTCTTTCTGCGAATCATAGCAAAGCCTGGAGTCGTGTTTCATCTTGTCATAGCTGATGCAAGACACTCTATCCTTCTCTGGTAAGACATCCCCATGGAATTTCATCAGCCAAACTATATCATGAAGAATTCCTGGCTCGCAGGAGAGATGGCACATCCAAGCTTTGAGGCTGGTCAAAGAAGGCAAGGGAATTGCGAGACACGACCTGACATAGTTGTATGCCTTTGCCGACATTATTTTCAATGGTACTGAACATTTGAAATTTTCAGTCGACCATTTCTTCGGTCGGAACTTTGATTGGAGTATGTCTAATTGAGTATTTGAGAATATTCCCTTGAGGAGAGATTTCTGAATCATAGTGGCACATTTTCTTTTTAGATCATTGATGACTTTTTTCTTTTGCTGCATCATCTGAGTGAATAGAATTTTTCTCAACCTCAGTTGCTCCTGTGCTCTTTTCAACTTCTGACGGATTACAACCTCTAAACAATGAGTATTCACCGTCTTCTGTTGCGACGATTTTACGTCATTGTTTTCCTTCGCAAGAGGTGAGGAGACCTGCTGGTCCTCCGCGTGTTGAAATGGACCATCTAATACGAATCTGGGAGAAGATGTTGATTCAAAGGTCAAATTCTTTGTTGGAACAGCATCTTTTTTCAAGCGCCTAATAGCATTTCCACCATAATATGAATCAGAGGAGAAGTGATGTGAGCACATGAAAGCATAACGGGGGATAGATTTTCTTCCCAGCACTTGAAGCCATTCAATTCTTTTGTCAGTACATTTTGGAAATACGTGAAAAAGAAATATTTCCTGCATGCCGATTCCTATAGGTATTTTTACAGGATGCGACAATGCAAACCTTGCTACTGCCCTTCATAAATAACAAATGCTATGATGAGAGTCAGTGTAAGGAACCGAAGAATATGTGCGAAATCAATGAATAGATGAGCACTGTGTAAACAATGCTGCCAAGGGTAGCTCTGACAACCCCAAGTATATGGAATTATGAGTGAGCGATGAGAAAACGAGCGTATGCGGCCTGCCTTGGCCTAAGCTGAAGAGGTAGTGAAATGGTTTAGGCCGAGCGCCGGCTTTTATAGTGGAACGTTTTGCTGACGTGATCTCATGTGCAAGATTTTACCCCCCTCTCTCCGACCCCCCTTGGCTCTAACACTGCCATAGGTCAGTGTCATGCTTCCATGAAATCAAGGATGCATCCATATCACTCCCAATTGAGATGGCCACATTCCCCTTTGCTGGCTTATGACTAAATTGACAACACTACCTGCAAACAGCAAGTGAAGGGCAAGTGCATTCCACAAGCATTCTGGAGGGACCATAGGATAACTCTGAACAAATGGTTTCTGTATCCATGCTGCTATTAGGAAATATACGCTTAGGTTGCTCAAGCCTCACATAATTTTGATGATCATGAGTTGAGCAATTGCATGCATATGACTTTCAAAATATCGATTTATCCTGAATTCCTGTGAGTATTGGATCAAAGAACAAATCATAACTTTTTGGCAATTGCATACACTATTTGATGAACTATTTAAAAAATACGCTGAAACTAATTATTTGGTCTGTTAGGGGATACATTGTGAATGGTCATATTACCCCAATGGTCATATTCCACCAAGTTACCTTATTCTTTTTTTGGACATCGAGATGAGTGCATTTTCCAAATTTTTTTTGGTATGAAAAGCTTTGTTTCCTTGAAGAGACAGAAATGGTTGTTTTGATTTTGCTCTTTAGAAAATACTCTACAAAGGACACTATCTACCATCAAAGAAATACAACAGATGTAACAAGTAGTACTAAAACAGTACAAAAATCTATCCACAGGTGGCAGAGTAACATCACTGCAAATAGATGACTATATAGAATGTACAGCATATGTGGATCTGCTGTACCAGCAGCACATGACTATCATGTGACTAGCACATGATGTATGTGAAAATGGCTTGAGGAGTTAATTTCACCAATGAAAATCTATGACTAGAAGTAATTCACACAATTAACCACAGAATCAATGACCAGCATGAGAGCAATGGCTTTGACTTGGAGAGCTCTATATCCTATAAAGAGGAATATCTGATCAGAAGTATGAAGACTTAAGGTAAACTTAATTTTTCTGCAGCAATGCCAATGAAGCTGAAAGGTACTGTTACCTAGGGAGTGAAATACACACAGACACCCTTTCCATGAAGGTTGTAGCAACACAGTAAACAGGAATACTTCAAATTACACTTGATGTAGCCTCATCATCATCCATCAGTAACAGTGACCAGCTCTATTGTGTACATAACGAACAAAATTATGACAGCTTTTTCTCATGAACATCCAACAAATTGTACATAAATGGGACAATCAGCAAAGGCAGGTCATGTGACTGAGATGACAGAAGTTTATCGTGGGCATGAAGAGCAATTTGGAGACTTTATGGAGAATGAAAATAGGTGAGTTACTATAGGATAAGGATCACAAATGGACAACCATGAGAGTTTTTTGAAGACATGATAAGGTGGATGGAATATTCCCTGATGTGAATACTGGCTTTTTCACTTGAGTGAATACCTGCTCTTCATTTGATGCACAGTTGTTCTCTTTTATCGACTTCTGGGGGATTCGGTTTCTCTCTATATCAGGGGGATAGAGTGAAAAAGACAGAAATTAAGACAGCTTCAGGACTCTGATGGTTTGTAAACTTGGATACAGCGTTTTGACTGGTGCCTGAGGCAAATTTTTAACACACACAAAAACACAATAATGATATACAATTCTGAGATAGAACATGGCATATTGCCTGTGCCACTGCAAAGTTGTAAAAGGCCAATGTGTTGATGGGGAACCTATTGCTCAACTTTAACAGAAAACTCTGCAAAAAAATTAATTTGGGTGCCGATAATGATGAAGGATGCACTGATACCTATCAAAAGTATCAGAATCGGCCAGGATCGGTATCAGCCAACATGAATATGGCTGATCTGATCCAGTTCTCCCTTGCTGCACACCATATTTAATGTGCAGTGCATACATTTTTGGAATGTCTCAAGAAAAGAGAATCACTTGTAATGTTGTACAGTTCCTCAAGTTCATCATAGTTCTAGTTCATCTCCAACTGATAGACAATGAGCTTGGGAATGATGCTAATTTGAACTTGGTTCCAGGCTTGAGGTCTGAGTTATGAATTTTTTAGAATCAGTTTCTCTGTCTTTCCATCCTAATTCACCCAATGGAAAAAAAAAACAGTTGTCTATTCACAGCCTCCAATTCTGCTTCTGATTTTTTAAATATGAAAGGTATTTGAAATAGACTCTCTGTGAACTTCTTCCTAAATATTTCTGAATCAAATTGTAGTCAAATTTTTTAAACTTGGCAGTAGGGCTTATTTTCACTCTCTTGTGAAGCATCAAGGTTGCTTTGCATATACTCAGGGTATGGCACAAAAAAAAAGACCAACAACTTTCAGCCTGTAAAGTATATCTCTCCACTCACAGGAGTTATTATGATGAAGCTTCAATCATGCATAGATTGATGTTACTAACAGACTCTTGACATTTTATCCTGGTTGTAAGGGTCAAAGCAAGGCCATGAGCAATTATCGAAAAGAAATCAGAAATTAAAAATGGAGAAGGTACTCCAATCCCCTCTGAGTGCCTCATCCTCCAGCCTCACTTTCCAACAAAGACCAATGAAAAATCTGGATGAAATTCAAGCAAACTCCTTTTTTGGTATGTATTGATTCAACTGTCATTAATTGGAATAAAGCTTAAACTACCTGCAAGGAAAGGTCAACTTGAAGAATGAATTTCAAAGAAAGAGAAGTTGGATGTGGCATGGATGATATCCAAGCAGTGAGTTTGAACATGTTCTCCATTCCACTACCAGCATGAACATGCTTCCTTCAGTGGAATGGTAATTTGAAGATACCAGTCCTGTAACATGCAGTTGGATGAGTCCTCTGCCTTTGTAGTCATAACTTTTTCACCTCATCATCACTGGTGAAAGGAATTCTGTGCAGATGGTCACCCACAAGTCTGAACAGGTTGAAGTCAGAAAGTGTCATATCTAGGCTTCAGGAGGATGTAGCACAATTTGCCACCCTATTGCTGTAAGCATTGGGTTGTGGCAAAAAATATGAAAAAACAACACTTGGTTCATCAGAAGACCCAGTCTCTTGTGAAGTACAGTACTTAGTTTCATTAATGTACTGCAAAATTACACAGGATTCACAGTTGCATTTTTTTGTAGAAAATCATTCACTTAGGGACCATCCTTGCCCCAGAAGGTAGTCATCAATACTTTCTTGGTGGATCTTACTGATTTCAACTATTTCCATCCAGGTGAGGAATGGCTCCATCCTTTTGAAATTTCCTTACTTTTGAGCATGTAGTGGGATAGCCAGGTGAGCCTGATGAGGATGAGGTCAAAGAGGCTGCAACTGCAAGACAGAGAACCTGCCTGGCTGCTTTTTATAGGACTGGTATCTTCAAATTGCCATCACATGGGGGAAGTCCATTGACAATGCTGGTGAATATTTTGATGATTGACTAGTACTCTGTACCAGGTACCAAGCTAGGAAAACCCTTGTGAACTTGCAAACTAGGTTTGTGGGAATGGAGATGTGGGGGCAGGCAGCCCGCTTAATCCGCTTGCATGTTCTTCCTGGGAAATTCCAATTTGTTGCCTCAGGTTTGCAGGAATAAAATATCTTTCTCCTACTCTGCTCTGCACTAATAATTAGTAGACTAGTGACTTGACTCTGTGACCAGTAGATTGACTCTGTAGTACAGCACTTGCAAGCTTCAGGATGATCTGCTAGTAACTTTTAATTTTATTTAATGAATCTTATACTCTTCATATAACCCTTGCATTTATTAAAAGTCATTGATCATTTATTTTGCCATACCCTATAAATATTACTGAATGCATAGCTCTGAGGCAGAGCATGGGACCAAGTTTCAATTAAAAACATTTGCAAGAGCATCAAAAGGAAAATCATTGACATTTTTATCATGACAATCAGATCCAATAGCCTGGAGAAATGCCAAGACATGTTAGGTCATTGTGCCCTTTTCAAAGTGATTTCTCCAGTCTAGCCAAGAATACTAGTTTAAAAATTATTTTTCTGGAAAAGGTGGGAAGCATAGTGCCAATGACACAGGAATTACTGATTTCAGTAAGCAGGGTAACAAAAAATTGGAGCTTTTGCAAAAAGTGGACCACTTTCAGGGAGCCTATTTTGCTTGTTGGGATCACTATTTTAAAGTTTAGAGTAATTCAAAGTATGCTCAGTGTCCAATTAAAAAATGAGATCATAAGCAAAGTATTCCCTTTGCAACTTTGCAAACATGAGGCTTTGAAGGATCCCTTCTTCTGGTACAATTAGCCCCACCCTTTGAGTTAAAAAGAATTTTACAACTTACATCAGATTTTGGACAACTATGGCAGAGATTCCACAAGGAAAGGAGAATCACTGGTTTTTTTTATGACAAACAAAGCAGGCAGACTGAAGAAATGGCAATGTATTTTTTTTATTTTGCCCTTTTCAAAGTGCAATTCCTCAATTTTACACAAATGACTGTGGTTTTGGGAAGCACACATTTACAGTGACTGATGAAAAAATGTTACTTTTGCCAAAATTGACCATTTTCGTAGAGCCTGTTTTCATTGTTCTCATAACTGATTTTCAGTTATAAAGCCATAAGCAGAAAATTTCTTTCTGAAATGAGACCAAAATCAAATTGCTACTGTTGCAACATTGGCAGATATATGCCTTGAAGGAACACTACTTTTGGAAAAATAAGTCTCCCTTCCAAAATTAAAACTAATCTACACCATATACAAAACATCAGAGAAATTGGAAAAAAAAACTTAAAAGCAACTTTTATTACAAATACCTAGAACCCAAAAAATCAGGAGCTGAATTGAAGAGGCTGACATTTTCCACTGGATGAATTGGGATGGAATGACTTCCAAGTACTAGGTTGTAACGAAAGTTTTTGTGCATACGAACAATGCAATAGTCCACGAAGCACGATTTTTTCATCACACATTCTGAACACTGTAATTTTTATAAATTTAGCAATTTGTGAAAAAAGCAATATGTATTTATATGCGATATAAAACACGCTTTCGTTCAGAATATGTGACGAAAAAATTGTGCTTCGAGGACTGTTGCGTTGTTTGTATGCACAAAACCTTTCGTTACAACCTAGTATTAAACTTTCCTATGCTGAGCCTATACCAAATTGAATGCAATGAATCGCTCTTAAATATGGAAACAATTGATATTTCAATCTAAACAGCCTAAGTCAATCAGTCCATCTAAATCTTTTCTTCCTTGGTTAATGTTGGTTTCAGCTATTTTTGCCCCTTTTTTGCATGTTTCCATGCAGTAGCTTACTTTTGATTATCTGTAATGGTTTTATGCATTCTGAAATAAATAAATAGGTGAAATCTATAAGCACAGTAGAGACTATGAAGATTATTCCATACCCATAAATACATTTACATGAGTATGGCATGTAATTAAAGCATTAAATTGATACAAAAAGTGATTACCAGCATTCCTTAACATATATATTTAAAAAATACTAGAGACTAGTTGCTTTGCATTTAATGTGAAAAATTCTTGGAAATAGGAACATGATACATAATGAAGACAATAACTTCCAGAATAATCACATATCTAGTGGGTGCTACAAAACCTTTGCTCTTCCTGAATTGCAGAACTATGTGATGACAAAGCAAAATGGGCTTCATTTCTGATTCTGAAGTATTTAATTCTAAATTTACAGTCTGATTCTCTACCAACTTTCTGTACCTACTCTCTGAACATCATTTGCAATATTAAAAGAAATTATAATCAAGAGCTATGTAAAAAGAATTGTAAGAAGAAAAAGGGAATGCACAAAAGAGATGTTACAGGACAAATAAATGGTGTTAAAAAAAAACTTTGCCAAATATTTTTTTTTTAAATATTGATAGTAAGTTTTAATTGATTGGCCCAATTTTTTAAATTCTGCATGGAAATAGATATAAGAAAGTTTATGCAAAATTTGAAGAAAATTAACTTGATGTGTCACTTGCTGTGCCAGTTCAAACTTGAAGGACAAAAAATGCACCAGAAATCCCTGCTGACATAGCCTCAACAATGAGTTGTTGAAGAGGTGGGAGCACTTATTTTAAGTCGGGTGTATAATCCACAGAGCCACTGGATGCAAAAGCAGATACCTCAGGACATTGGTATATCCCTTTCAACAGTCTACCAAATCATTCAAAATTATCTCAGATGAAAATGCTTAAAAATGCACTGTTACTGTGGGAGTAGGGTTGCTTCAAGCAAAGCATCATCAATGGAGCAATTCTGAAATGGCAAAAATGGCTGCATACTTGTGTCCAAAAATGCAGGAGTCATTTTAAGCATAAGCCAAGACCGAAGGCAGGGATACCTTTCAAATTTGGCAAAAACCTTCCACTACCTTTCCACATTTAATGTGTCAAAATTTGGATCAATCTGGAAAAAACATACTTTCATTACCAAAAACAAATTGATATACAAAATTTTTTTTTTTATTTTAAGGCTAAAAACTTTTTTTTTTTTGGAACAATATGTAGATAAAGATAACAGAGGATAAATATTCCTGTCTCACAAGTAATTGAAACAATTTCAAGTTAGGGTAGTGTGGCAAGCAATATACTGGGTGAGGCAAAAGTTACAGTCCTTGTATACTGAAAATAGCTCTTTTGGTAACTTGGTCCTATTTGTCTCAGAGTAATACTGCTGGATAAAGCTGGTAGCTTTTGAAATTACATTGCATGAGCATTTTTCTATGTTATTTGTGCTTTTGTTTTAAACAATGGTCAATATATTGTTAGAAATTAGCCTATGTTCTATGTTCAACAACAGTATAGTGACTTTTGCTTCACTTTCTATATGTAATTGAGAATGAAGCTGCACATATGAAAGGAATTTGCAAAAAAAACATAGCTGGATGCAATAGTAAAAATACAGTAAAGCTCAATGCTAACAGTGTATCATTCTTCAATAATAAAAAAAATAAAACTAACAGAAAAGCTGTGCTGTTTAGCCCTTTCATGCTTGAATTACATCTTAGGCAAGGGCTCATATTGAGGACTCACCAAAGCTTAGGAAATATTGATATGCTATTTAAAAAATATTTTTAATGAAATTAAGTGAAAATTTGATTACTGAAAAATTCCAAAAAACCCAATTCTATTTGTAAGTAATTAAGTCCTTGTTTACTGCAGAATGTTTCTCAAGACTTACATGCTATATAGTTACCTAACTTATCAGAACCTAGGAAAAACTTTTGAAAATAAAAAATTCTCAGAGAATTCAAATTAACGAGGTCCCTCTCTTTAATCTGCCCTAGATCCAAAGACACAACTGACACATTGTAAACATACATGAACCTCACATAGGCACAAAGATAGGAGGTGAAAGGTGACGGTCACACCAGTTATATGTAGCAACTCACTTTTGTAAAGTGAAACTGTCAAGGAAATGTCCTACACGTGATGCTACTGAATTTTTTTTTGAAAATGGATGGACAACAATTCAAACAAAAGGTGTGAATCATACAGGTTAATGAATTTCCATTTCCACATCAGCACAGTGATATTTGGGCAGAAACCTGAAATTTAGTTCATTTTAAGCTTCTTCAGATATTGAATGAACTTTTTCAGCATTTAGTGTTCAAATTCCGTTTCCACCATTTCACAACATTGTTCTTTGTTTCCTTTTCTATGTTCGCGTATTCGTGCTGTTTCACGTTTTTATTGAGTATATCTCTCCTGATGATTTGATAACACCTTCTTGCATTCAGAGACATTTGAAAGACAGGTCATGTGAACTTTGAACCCCCCCAAAATTTTTGGACTGGTTACGGCACTGTATTGGGCCAATCAGGCCTGCCCACATCCTGCTTAGACCACTATGTTTCAGAACTTGAGGTCTCTGATAACATATTTGCCTGCACCCAACTGGATACTTGATCCCCATTGGAGCAGCACACCCAATCTGTGGGTTGGGTCAGTCCAATCAGGCCTATCTGCATCATGTGCAGAGCTCAAAATCATCCCCAATTTTTCCTCCAGTACCTGGACATTTGAAATTCAAAAGATGTATCTCACTTGAATGCTACCCGGCAGAACTCATTGAAATTTTGCCTACTGGCAATTGATGATGATGAACACATCCCCTTTTATTGTTCCAAAGTGTGGCTGGCTACTTGAAATTTGAACATTGTCATTTGAATTGAATGCGACAGAGCTCACTGAAAATTGGTAAAAAGGGATATTGGGAGTCTCTGATGATGAGATACATCCCCCCCCTTCTTCATCTGATATCTGAAAGTTCCTAATCTGCACTGATCATGTAATTGGAATATTATGGGACAGAACTCCTTAAAAAAAATTGGAATGATATGGAAAATTAGGAGAAAGAAAAAAATGCTTTTGAGCACTGTTGGTCATTTTTACTCTCTCTGATGATGAACTAGCTAGCTATTTCTTGGATGGGGGGGGGGGGGGGGGGGGGGGGGGGGGTAACAGGACATACCAATATTATTGACCCAAAACATGGCTGTTCTAAGTTCAAGTAATGTGTCTCACTTGAATGCTCTGGGTCATAAGTCAAACGACATCGAATTGGAAGACAATGTTCCAAAGGTAACAGCTAGTATAACCAACATAATACATTTATACTTTGTATTTTTTCCATTTTACAGATTATTTTAAGTGCCCATCTACAAGACATTGCACTTTTTCAGTTTTTATCCAAATATCTTAAATTCAGTTCTCCAGGAGTATCTCTCTATCTCAGCAAGCCAGTGGTCTGGCAGCCATAAGAACAGACTCCCCCTGTGGGTAGAACTGGGAGACTTGACAAATGAAGAAAAGATGGCATGTTCATGAGAGAAAGGAGAGAAAATTAAATTTACCACTGGAGTTGAATCTTCTCCAACTCTGCAACTAAAACACCTTCCAGACATGTCTCTCAAATATCTTTGAAGTTGAGACTGTGCACTCATGACTTGCTCTGGCAGTTTGATATTGCTTTGGTCCTCTGGAAAAAAAGGAAAAAGGATTTCATCCAATTCATGCAGTGATATCTGCAAAATGTGACTATCTAGGAAATGAATCAGAATGGCTACTTTTTAAAATGAACTTTTTTTTTAAAGGAACATTCAGACTGACAAATAAAAACAGAAGCATTCAGGAATCCTGATTTTTTTTCTTCAAAATAATGACATTTTGCAGTTGAAGATTTCCAAAACTGGAGTCCAAGAAATAGCTAGCTAGTTCATCATCAGAGAGAGTAAAAATGACCAACAGTGCTCAAAAGCATTTTTTTCTTTCTCCTAATTTTCCATATCATTATTTTGTCCCCTCCTTAGTGTCATTTGCTTCTTCAGGACATTCTGTCCATCGACTCAGAATGATGGAGATGACAATTTCACAAGAGGATTCTAATCTGGAGTATCTATGCTAATGTGACCATCACCATGATAGAATCACCTTGAAAGTAATCCCGGATGTATCTAAACAAAGAGAGACTCCAGAAGATATACTCTAATATTTTTTCTACCAGAGCACTACTTGAAAAGCATGCTTTCATAAATGACTTATTCATGGAGGAGCAAGCAACAACTTCTCCTGTTACCTCTTTATTATTTCTGTCTTCCCAACACATTTAAAGCAGTTGATTCTCCATATTTCTACTAGTACTTTTGAGAATATAAAAATCCCTGGAAATAAAAAATTGAGAAGTGGACAGACAGATCATTCAGAAAATGCAAATGGTTTTTGTCTGAATGATATAGAGGACTTCCTTGCAAGAGCGTAGTATTATTGGCTGCTGGACTTGTTTTCCACAAAAAAAAATGCATGCCATCTTCATCACATGCCATTGGAGGTAATTTAAACAAAGAGGTGGAAGGATGAAATTACTCACCAAATGGATTAGGAGGTATGGCTGGTCTGTATTTTTGTGCTGGACCTTTATAATGGAAAAAAGAAATTTATAAAAACATGTGATTTTCAGCTCCTGTATCAGTGCTTAATATCCTCAACAACCAAGCCAATGTACATGGTGGTACAGTAATAGAAAATACTACCTAAGGCAGTCATTATTTATTGATATTGGATGAAAATAAGCAGAATTAGAACAGACTTGAAATATTTTCTGATCCTGAGTTATTGCTCAGGATGAGGAAAGGAGGGAATTTCCTCATCTCAATTGTGTGAACTTAGTGAATGGTTCAAACGATAATTGACCTGAGTCTTTGACCTCATCTACTTGTCATTTTGGCATTGAGTTCTACAGGAAAAAAGAAATCCAGGTCATTATATTTTCCACAGCACAAAACTTCACTGGAAGATATTTTAATTTTTTTTAAGCCTTGATGCAAGCCTTTTTGCCAGGCAAGGCTTTTCCAAAGATATTTTTGCACCAGCAAAAAGAGCAAACGAATAAGGCTGAAACTTGGTATGTATGTAGTTCTCCAAGTATTGATTTAATTAAAAATGGTAATTTTTAGGGAAAACCCTTGAGGGCATATTTTTTTAGAAAAAGGTGCTTTTTCCGGACACTTTTTTGATTCGACGAAGGAGAAAACTAAAGAAAGTTAAAACTTGGAGAAGTACCTGTTCGATTGCATGTCCTACTTTTCAAATATGACCCCTCAGGGCAGATTATGAAAAGATTTGAAATTAGACGCACAAGAAACAATGATAAAAATATATTAGTTTGTTCCCTCTCTGTACACATTCTGACAGGCACATACTTTTAATATGTTTTTGCCACTTTGAAAATAAATTATTGAATGAATCACTATTCTGGGAATGGAGCACCAGAGGCACAACAATAGCTAGTTCTTTATAGTATTCAACTTTTTTTCACAATAGCTTCTGAGATTTATGAAGCTGAATCTCCATATTGTTTCTAACATGGGAGGGGGGAAGAGGCTGAAACCATGTGCTTTATTAGTTATTTTTATTTTCATTAAATAAGAAACATAAGTATCAGAGGATTGCCAATGCCATTATTTGTTGTTGTTGCTATGGCAGAGAATGGCAGATTAAAATGGCATTTGTAAAAAATATAGATTTTCTGCCCAAAGAAAACATATATCTGCCAAAATGTCCTCAGCCCTCAGTCCTCAACCCCAGATGACCTCATTTATTTTTCTACTGAGTTGTCCCACCCAATGATTTGATTTTGAGTCAAGGAATGCAAAATTTCCATAGATGGCAACAAAAGTAATTCATACCCCTAATACGTTTGTCTCGCCTCCATTGCTGCACTCTCTGACAGATGGAGAATCTATGCTTGCAGAGTGTCCACTTCCAGCAACTTTGGCAGGGACGCACAAAGTCTAAGAGAGGGGAAAATACTTCAAGTTAGCATTTTAAATAGTTATTACCAACAATAGTTTTCATAAATGGCCATATATCAAGAGAGAAAATATTTGCATGGAGACAAAAGATAGGTTACTGATCAGTCAATCAAGAACCAGTCAACTGAGTAGCCAAAGTAGTGAATTTCTGTTGATTACTCTCTTAAAGTTTTATCTCCAATCCATGTAACACTCATCCATTAATGTCACAATCATAACTCCATTCAATTAGACTTTCCCATTGCCAAATATCATAAGCCAAGCCCTTTAACCCAAAAATTCCAGCAAATAAGTAAGTGATTTTTTTAAAACTGATATAACTACTACAAAGCATTTTTTATAGTTATATAGGCTTGCCCCTGACATTGAGCAATTTTACCCTCTATGCTCTAAGTGCTTCATCAGTACATGCACTGATATTCTACACCACAGAGTGCTGTCATAGTGAAATGAATAAATGAAGCATTACCCCCTGTATAAATTCCATCAATCAAGGTTTAAGGGTCAGATAGGGGCACCAGGAAGTGCATCTGCTCATTATGATGGCTGATGTTGAGGTCAAGTGTTAATCATGTATCAAAAAATAGGCCTACCCCTTTTAGGGAAAGATGTTTTTGTGGGAGCCAAGTCCACCTACTGCCTTGCCACCTAGATCTACCTTTTTTTGTTTTGTCCATGAAGGCATCAAGCCTCTTCTTAACCCAATGAGTGGTGAGTATTTTTTTTTTTGCAGATGGGTTCCAGCTCAGAATTTTTTACTTTTATGGACATAAAGAGTTTCTACCTCAGAAGTATGTCGAAATAACTTTAATTCAACATTTGTCATCTTGAATAATCAGTAGTGCTTCAGGGTGTGGTATTATTATTATAAAACAATAATGAAATTTTAGAAATATAACATGATAATTAGTTTCTATTTTTGAAATTTTTTTTAATACTTAAGACAAGAAAATAGAGAGAAAAACAAATAGTAAACATAAGTAGCTTTTCACCAACTAGATTCTTTCCTCCAATGTGTGAAGCAGCATCTTATTATATCTTCAAATGAAAGTAAATTACCTTATTATTAAATTACATTCCTAAAATTTAGGTTTTATTCTATATATTAAATTCCATTGCTATTGTGATTTTCATTTCTCTACAGAAGGAAATTGCTGTAACCATCGAGTGCCTATGCAGAAGAAACTGCTGCCCTGCCTCCTGCTAAAAAATGACACAAAATCGAAGAAAAGTTCTGAAACGGAATTGATAAAGTATGAAAGAGGTGAAATATGGAAGAAGTAATTGATTTAATACCCTTTTCCATCTCATTTCCTGTGAGGGAGTTCGTCATATAATGCCTCTTGGTACAAACCGCTTCTTGTCTACCAACACCTTACACATGAGATGTTTTTTCAGCAGTTTATAGCCAGTTCCAGGGTTTCCAAGATTTGTCATTGAAAATCAAGAGCACACCCCTGTAAGCTTAATTTTTGAAATGGAATGGGCATCTGTCAGTGAGAGGGTCACACTAACAACCCTCTCCCATTAACTGCCACGAAGTTAGTATTTAATTTTTTCTATGTTGCTTTCTGTACTAGCCTGAAGGTGCCAGTACTGAATAAGGGAAGACATATTCAGGAACCTCCAAATTTAAGCTCAAACTGATGACATCTGTTCAAATGTGGCAATTTGAATTCGAAGATACAGGATGTACTGGAACGGTCACACTCCCAATAATCTTCTCTTGAGTGAGTACAATCCCACCACTTCTAAATGCTTCTCATATGGGAATCCCCTAACCTCCCTGAACTCCCTCCTCCCTCCCTCCCTCCAAGCCCACCTATGGACCCTCTTGAGCACCTTGAGAGCTCACCTTGATTTGCAGGTCTATAAAATTGAATGCAATACTCCAAAAAGGGTCCTACCAGTGCCACATATAACAGAAGAATAATGCATGAGTGCTTGCAAGCTATGAAACATAAGATTGTGCCTAGAATCTTGAAACATTTAGCTACCATTGCTTGCATGTACAAGAACTTGATTTCCTTATTGATAGTAATCCCTAAATATTTATCTCCCTTTACTTCCTCTAGCTCATCAATGTCAAACTCATTCAGGTACCTATTGTCGTTATGACAGATGTGAAGAACCTTACTCTTACCTTTACTTTAAAAAGTAATTAAAATAAAAAATTATAAAATGCATAAAAAAGGAACAAGAGCATGGAACTGTGATAAAACAAAGCAACACAAGAAAGGCACAAGGAATAAATTAGTGAAATTCCCATTCATAAATCACCAAGTAATAAATGGATGATACAGAATAGCAATGGTACAAGGTTAAGAAAAATGTTTTTCTCAGGGATGAAAATGCTTTAGGGGAAAATTAAAAAAAAAGAAGTTAAATCAAAATAGAAAATGAAAATGAGAGTTTGCACTGACAAAGTAAAAAGAATTTACATTTATTTAATGTCATGCTCATATGTTACCATATTTTTGCCTACTTCTGCTACTGCATGCATAAGCATTTAACATTTCGTGACATCTGAAAATTAAAACATCCAAAGGCAATATAATTCTTCAAAACAGAAAAAGGATCATTCCATCTCATATCAGCCAGAGGCTAGATGGTGACCCCCTCCAATATTGAAAAAAAAAATTTTACACGGCACCCCTCATGGCTCAAAGAAAGTGATCAAAATTTTGGCTTCAGGTATCGAGCAGTTTTGGCACAATAATTTGTCAAACTTTTCAAAGTTTCAAAAAAGTGGCATCTATTACTTCATGCTTATGTAGGGTGAAGACTATTTGATCAATACAAATGCAGAAAAGACCATTGTTCTTTAAATGTTTAAGCGCCATCAACAATGCCACCATATGGCTTGTTGACACTTGCTTTCTGTTTGGTGAGGTACCAACTGAAGGACAGGTAACAGAGTAATGAAACAAACACACTGATTGGTTGCTAAGAAGTGACATTCTATTGGATAAAGTAATCATGTGATTGATATAACAATGAGAGTTACATGAGAGCATTACAATGAGAGTTTGCATAGCAAAAGTGGCATTGGCTTGATCCACCTGACTGCACTGAAACAGTTAATTAGGTTAGATTTTCTAAGTTATTTTATATACTTTTTTCCTTCAGGCAATAATGAATGAAAGGAAGCTATGTCTATTTTGCCAATCTTTGGCATTTTCATCAATTTTTTAAATCAGCAGAAAAAGATTAAGTGATGTTTCCAATTTTTATACTGCAAAATTCTACACAAAGAGCTGTGAGGGCTCCAAATATGCAAAAATCACAAATAAAAAAAAAAAGTGATTATTTGGTGTTATTTTAATTTTCTATGCAGTCAAAACAAAATATGTGAAAATTTCCAAGAATGTCTACCATTTACATGAAAAAAGTTCTGAATACTGTGAAAATGCAGGTCTGGAGTGGTTAAAACAATTCACCCTGCCTGGTGGGGGTCTTATACTTCATATTTTTAAATGGAACACTTTGCTTCTATTGGTTTGTTGTGGTGCCATTCTGGTGAATAGCTAATTATTCAATTGTGTACTTATTGTAGACTGTGCTGTGAGTAGCTGTGAGTAGCTATTGTAAATTGTGCTGTTTTTAGTGAAATTTGTGATTTTTGCATATATTGTGATTTCGAGCCCTCACAACTCTTTTGTGCGGAATTTGGTGGTATAAACATTGGACACACATCACTAAATCTTTTTCTGCTGATTTCAAAAACATACATGATGATAGGGTTTCATAAACATGTTGAAACTTTGCAAATTTCTGAAAATGCCAATAGGAAATATTGGCCTGAATGGCACCAAAGTGATCCACCCCAGTCATTCAAGAGGCAGATTCCAAGTTTATGGCCTAAATCATTTCATCCTTGGTTCTGTTCCTTTTTTGCTCATAGACATCATGCAAAATGCATGCAATTGCCAGTGGCTTTTAACTCTGGCCCAGGATATAGTATGAATCCAGAAAAGTCAGATGCCTCATCCTGGAAGCCACCTTATCAAGTCACCCCAGAAGTACATTGACTGTTGTGGTCCTATGCTATCCATCTCAGGATGAATTTAAAATGGACATGGAGACAGAAGATATATTAGAATAAGTGTATAAAGGATGAAGTCATACCTAAGTTTATGGAAGTTTCTTGAGAATGCACAACTCTCCTTGCTACTGGAGGAACAGGTTCATCTGCTGCTATTACAGGTGCTCCAAGAACTGGCCTTAGTGTTGCTGATTCTGTTTCCAAGGATGATCCTGTAGAATAGATTGAACCTCAATTAATTCGTACTTGCCAAGAAATGAGATGTTCCAAAGATTTGACTATCTCATATAACATTATTGTCTACATGATACCATACATACATAAATTGTCTTTGCTGAGTTTCAGTTCACTTCCAATGTGAATTTCATGAGTACCAAAACCACCAATTGCTTCCAGGTGCTTTGGTCCCATGCCACATCTGCAGCATGATCCACACAAAGACCAAGTGCAGACAAATCATGCCTGATTACAGCCAACCAGCAGATCCAAGGATTTCCTCGAGGCCTTTGTCCTTGGGTGAGACCAATATTTAAACTATGCCAAGGGTGGTCCTACTTTCTAATGAATTTGGTGAGAAGCATATTTGACATTTGATGAACCCGTTACCCTATTTGTTGATATTTTGTAGTGTAGAAAGTTGTGGTTGTCCATTCCTGATATTTTACAATAATTTACAAAAATTACTGTATTATTTAAAAAAGCAATGATTTTTCACACAAGCACATAAAATTAATTGGAGAGCAGTAGCATTCACAGCAGTGATATGGTGCACAAAAGTTTTCTCTGTGATCAATTTGCGACTCTTGGATGGACGATCATGGCTTTTTATGAAACCTGCACACAGTGTTAATGTATGGCCTTGCTACATATGCTGGATTCCTAATGAAGGAAATGAAGAGGGCAAGCTTAAAATGTATTAGATACATCTACAACAAATTAGATAAGTAATTTTAAGAGAAAGTTCAGCACTCTGGCATGACTGTTCCAAGACATCAGCAATGACCTAGAACACCCTCAGCAAGTCTTATCATCTTTCAAAAGGAAAACTGGACCAGTGACCACAACCATGGTGCTGCTCTAAAACTGAGGACAGAAGCATTTCAAGGCTAAAAGAAAAGTTCACCATCCTCAATTAAAGTGATCTAGGGAGACTGAACAAAACTGGTGACAATTTTTATTTTTAAATCTCATTTTCAATTTAGTTTGCACCTTTATTTCTATACATATGATCTGTGGACTGTACTATCATTATTTAATGTCTATATACTTATTTTCTATTTCATTCTTTCTCTACTCAGTGGACATACTTTCTTGACTCTGACTCTCACCCAACCAGCCTGTCATTACCTGCACCTAACACATGACTAGCAAGCAGATCCTAGCCCTATTCACAAGGGTTACAGCCACAAGTTGCCTGGATCAAGGTAACAACTCCATGTTACAGACATGCTCCAATAAATAGATCCTCTGGAAAAGACAAAATTAAAGCCCCTAGATGTCCAGCCTCCCCATCATCAGTGTCTGGTGCAGGCAAAACCTCCAGTCCATAAAGGTGAGTGGAAATTGGGGAGAACCCCTTCAGAACACCTTTACTTGATGAAGCCAGACAAATGCTGACACAACCACACTGCATGTACTAACATATCAAGGGACTTTCTAGTCCTTAGGATTCTTGTTTGGATTTCCCATGTGATTTTCATCAGATACAATTCAAAGTCAAGTAGGTGATGCATGAAACTTGCTCCAATTCTTTCTCATCAATGATTACACTAACATACTGCTGGAGGTAGTGCTGTGCTCCAACACTCATTAAGGATCAAGCACTAGTAGTTACCAGCCACTTCGAGGTGGGGTAACTGTCATTCCAGGTCCTTCAAGCTTGATGCTAGAAGAACCAAATCATTAGTATACACCAGATAGAAGATAATATTGTCACCAAAGAATATACCTATAGCCATATTCAAGAAAGACTTAAGCACCTGATATGAAACCACTTGCTGGAACACACTTCATAATAGACACAACTCCCTTTGCCATTATCCACAGTACAGAGAATCTGCAGGAGCTTTGTCTTCAAGCCACAAGACTCCAGCATCCTCCAGACTCTCATTTACACTGTGCCATAGGCCTGCTTGAAGCTGACAAAACACAGGTATTGAAGTATGTTAGAGTGGATTTTTGAACAGAGCACTATCCGATAATGCAGCTTTATTTACCGGATTCATTACGCATTTTCTCTTAAATAAAGCCGCATAATTGGATAGTGCACTGTTCAAAAATCCACCCTTATATTCCCAGATGCTATCCACTGAAGGGCATTTCACACTTGGCGTGCCATCATCGTAGGCGTGGATGCTTGGGCAAGTCGGCAGACGAACGCGTGCACTGGCGTGTCCGCTTATATCCTAGGGTTTTCACTAAACATGACGCAAAGGACGCAGGACACGCAAAGTGTGACGCCCCTGACACTCAGAACGCAAAGACTAGGTTGATGCAGGAGTGAGTGCCCAAGAAAATATCCGTCAAGCTCTTCAAGAGAGGAAGCTCAATTTGCTTAAGCAGCTGGTTCAGTCACGCCATTATTCCAGCCACATTAAGCACACCTTTTTAAGATGGTAGGGGAGGAAAAATCGACCGTCTGGGATTCGAAATATGAAAAGTAATTGTTGTAGGGGGTCCCTAGGGAAGTGAAAAGAGGGGTCGCACAGTCACCTCCGACCCATAGTTTGGCCAAAAGTCACTGCCAAAGTTGCCGCTAGATGGCCATTTGATGAGTGGAATTCAAAGGGCTACAACTCGGAAACCGTTGGCCAGAGGAACCCGCAAATAACGTATTTGGAAAGCTAAGACAATCTACTTTTAAATGCGGGGTTGAGATTCAAGCTGGCCTATGGCACAGTGTAAATGAGAGTCTGGAGGATGCTGGAGTCTTGTGGCTTGAAGACAAAGCTCCTGCAGATTCTCTGTACTGTNCGCTATGCCACTGTAAGTATGCCCAGCCATCTCCCCCCCCCCCCCAAAAGAAAAAAAACCCCCCCCCCCCCCCCCCCCCCCCCCCCTCGTTTCTGCCAAAGTTTACGGGCTTGCTACAGAATGCGAGCTCTGGCTCCTCAAAAGCAAAAATCACAAAATCTTCTCTGATAGATCGATAGAAAAGACTCTCTGGATGGCAGTGAGACTTTTACTTAATAACTTTTCAGATTTCGAATCCCAGACGGTCGACTTTTCATCCCCTACCACCTTAAAATGAAGAATTGCCTGAGCTGCACAAAGCTGCATAATATGGCACACTGCACAAAGTCGACACGATTAACAAATCTGCAACCGTATTTAGCCCACTTCAGGGAAACGTGTAAAACTGGAAACACTGGGTTTTCTTGGTGATTACACGCCCTACATGGCAGATTTTAAGGCTATCAAACGTCTTGTAAACACCATGTACACCCTGTGTACGCCCCTTCCCACCACCACCTTAAAGCTAGGTTTCAACTTGCGAACACTAAGGTTGCATTGCTGTGGATGAGAACATGGGTTGAGGCCTAGAATATATTTGGCAGCTAAGATTCAGACAGCTTGCCAATTCCTAGCAGGATGCGCCGAATTGAAGTTTCCAGACCAGCCTCTTGCCCCTACGACTTAACGGCTTCCATCGTTGGGTCGCTGATCGCACGATCAAGTATGCCACGTACTTGATGCTTGCATTGATACCACCCACACGTTCCAAAATATGTACAGGGCATTTAGAACGTCCCTTGATGTTTGTGTTTACATAGTCCCTTGAGGGGGTTACACATACAAAATATCGACATGTACCCCATTTTCAGCACATAGCTGTATTCCCAGACACTTGTAACTAGCCTCTCTTCAATATTAAATGCACTGGTGTCCGTCATGGTTCACTTCTTCCACAGAATAACTACAGAAGACTAGGGATCATAAATATCAAGGGACTTCGTAAACAACCTGTAGATTGGCGAAATTTCAATTCCCTCCGGTGTCATAGACGAGGCGGTCTTGATGACTCACCTAATTTAGGAGAGCTGTTTTCGGTGCGCAGTCTCGAAGTAGCATAGAAACGGAAAAAATTACATATTGATATGAGACAAGTAGTGTGTGTGGGCTCTACTACCTCACGTGCTATCCACAGCCATTACCGAGAAAGCAATAAAAATTTAAAAATATATCGGGTGCATTCATGGCATACGTGCATTTCTTGAACATACCAAACCAATTCGTTTCGGAACCCATATACAGGGAGAACCTCCTTCATGGACGTGATTGGCAGAGGGTGAGCATTCCCTCCCAAAGGAATTCGTATCCAGATAGTGGAGCAGGGGAAAGCAATGAGAAACCAGATAGTAAAGACAAATTCCCTTTCCCAACCTTGGTATGGAATTATTGACCTTCCGGCTGCCTGCAAGATGGCTTATCTGACCGAGAGTGACACCAAGTGAAACTTCCTCATGAGCGATAGAACGCAAATGTTTATTTGCTCATGTGGAGGGAGTCTGTCAACACAAGGTTGCTATCTCCATCCATCCACAGAAAGAAGGTATTGACATTTTTGGATATTTCAATGCAACGGCCAACATGAACCTATGAACCAACAAAAAGTGAAGTGATTAATCTTCCGATAAGAGGGTTTCTGCTTCAATTTCCAGACTGATGTTTGTTTGCTGCTTGGCTGTCTCCAATTAGCCCATTGATGAGACCGAAGTGAGTTGTCACTCAACAAGGAGGGCACATGACTCTAATTGTTGTGATTTCTCCCTCACGTGCGCTTGCCCATTAATTCGAAGATGCTGCACGGTGATCTCACTATAGAAATATTGGGAAACTTTCGAAATCAAATGAGTGCCGTGATTGGACCAGAAAAAAACGAAGCTGTCTTCATCGTGGAAAATTGTAGTTCGGTGTAGTTCACCGAAGAGTGATTCCTCGATACCAGTCCCATTAAATAAACTTTATATCGATTCGAATAAGAGGTAAAGTGATGGCTCAGGTTCTCTCTCGGCTCTCATTGCCGATAGCCACCGTGCTGCTGCTCGGGGTGTCTTTGGCACAGTATCCCAGAAACATTCTAAAAAAAATTGTGCATGACGCACTCGCGAGAGTTTACTCAGCGATTTATGCCGCGTAGCATACTCAATCGTTTACACCAGAGGTCCCCAAACTATGGCCCGCAGGCCGGATACGATCTACGGCGTTACTTAATACAGGTCGAAAGCAAATGCAAAACATATTGCGCATTGACCAGGTATATTCAAGTGGAGACCGCAGGTCGAATCTAGACCATGAAATATCTTGCGATTTTTTCCAAGCTCAAAATACACGTTTTTTCTAGGGCTGTCACGATAGTAGTTTTCAAAACATCGATGCATCGGCCTGAACTATCGATAGTGTATCGATGCATCGGGGTGGGGGGGGGCTGGAGGATTCCATCTTTTCTCTCCGCGATCGGAGCGCGGACTTTTATCCGGCTTCCATTATCTCACGCTTGTGATCGGGGGTGCAGGGGGAATGTGTGACCTTCGCAAAGAGTAATGAAACCTACCATGCCTCCAACTATCGAAGATGACATCCATTCGTCTATGGATGCATCAGGACAGCCCTAATTTTTTCCTATTGCTGTTAAGAATCAGCTGTTCAAGTAATTTTTTTTCTCTTTATCTTCGTTCTACAATGTCTTTGGACATCAGCACCACCAGATAGGAAACCTGCTAAACCATATCGGTGCCATACCGGCGGTTGCCGAAACATCGGCCCTAGAATAAGCAACGTCCATGTAAAAATTTCACTTTGAGTTCACCTTAAGTAGAGATAAAAGCCCCAAGACAAGTTAAAAATTAAGAAAGTTAAGCCTGCACACTAAAGTGATAGATAGGAATATAGAGAGGGGATTAACCAATGTAGGTTTCGAAATCAAGGGAGTATGAGAACAGTTTACTTCAGCAGCATGCACCTGGTGAGATAGAGTCGAAAACAGAAAGAGAAGGGAAAAAAATCTCGGTATTCACCCCTCCCCTTTCCCACTTCCTCTCTTCCTTCCCTCTTTTTTCCCCTTCCAGTCTTTCTTATAGTCAGTCCTAGCATTTCCGGAATTTGATTGTGATAAGAAATCGCAAGCCCCTGCTCGTCACGCCGCTTCTTCCTTTCCCCGCCCGGACGGACTGAATTGTACTGTACTCGCCTCGATCCAATGGGACATTTCCCTTTTAAAATACTTTGTCGATGCATCGCGATAGTCGAAAAAACTATCGATATATCCAACTATCGATAGTGGTATCGATGCATCGATCTATCGTGACAGCCCTAGTTTTTTCGCATTATCGAAAATCCGAAAAAAAAAAACGTTTGGGGGACCCCTGGTTTACACGAACAGGTCATTGAATACAATAGTAATTTCCGAATGAAGTCGTTTTTTCCTGAGGGAGGAAGGAAAAAATGTCTTCAAATGCCTTCAATGTCTGGTTTCTCGTGCTTCCCTTCCTCTCCCGTCTCTATATACTGTATATACGTGGGAATTCCTTTCGGGGGGGGGGGGGGGGGGGGGGGTTTGAACACCCTCCTCTTATCATAGAGGCTCTTCATTTCCAGCACTAGGTCGGAATCATTCATGGACATAAGTCGCACCGAATAGCCAAAAAGAGACAGTCACACCGCGGCGGAGCAGGAAGGAGTAGCGATGATAGACGCGTGGGCATCCTCAAGCCCGCCGCACACGAGGCGATTTTTGTTGTGTGACCGTCGCTCCACATGATATTGCTCCATGTGCGGGGGTGCTGCCATCGCACTACCGTCGCAAGATATTGCTCCCTGCTCATTTTTCCTGCGATAAATATTGCCGTCGCTCAACTACTGCTCCTTGTGCGGGGGTCCTGCGATGTTGCTGAGATGTAGGCCGGCCCAATTCTAGCATCGACCAATCACATTGCTAGCAGATTCCTTCGTGTGTGCTCCCCGGGGGCTCATATGTGATGGTCGAGCAACAAAAATCGCCCATTGTGCGGCGGGTTTTAACGCTGCTGTGTGGAAACGAGGAGAAAACGGACAGGGAAGGGAGAGCGGCGAGATATTTATGAAACGCAATAGCCGCTTTTAAGCCATGCTGTAGACTCGCATGTGACAAGGCTTAAAAAACACACGGGAAGTCGCCAGTTCCCAAAATGCGCTTCAATTGTCAAACCTATCTGAACGATCTCTGAAATAATTACGATCTAAGGAGAATATTA